AGTGAGTGTGTCTCATGTGTGTGTGTGTGTTGTAGTGTGTTGGTGTGCCGTGCCCTAATGCATGCCAAATGGCTATGGGCATCAATAAAGCGTACGTCACTCTAATTGCACATGCTGCCAGGGCACTGGGAGAAAAGATTTTAAACCTTTTAAACCTTTAAAAATTAAAAAAAAATATAGTTATAAAATAATAATAATAATTGTAATATAAATTTGTAAAGTAATTTTAAGTTAGGATTTTAGTCTGTCATAATTATTACATTATATATATATCAGGAAAAAAAACGTTCTCATTATTAAATAAGTGGCTTAATTATTTGATTTTTCGTTATACGTTGAATTTACAGAATGTTCTCTAAAAAACCCGAGAACTTAAATTCGTGTTAGGTTCTGAAACCTTTAGTTTCCATTATTTTATTTAATATTTCAACAATTTTATTTAAAAACCACCGAAAAAGTGAATAAATTTTCATACTTTATGTAATAATAATATATAAAAATTACTCCAAGCTCTCGTGCCCATTTTCTTGCAGTGTAAACAGACTGGACACACATTGCAGTTACACTTTGCTTTTTCGCACGCTTTCTCTCTTTATCCCCTCTTTCTCTCTTTTCTCTAGTTCTCAGCCTTTGTATGCAGTCAAAGGGGTAAAGAGGGATTGGGAAATAGGGAAAGAGGGGAGGGGGGTCGAAAAACGGCATGGAAAACTGGGTGGAAATGGCGGGCTGGAAGCCTTAGCTGGCATTGGAACGGGTTGAACTGTAATGCCATTAGCTGGCAGCGGCGCGCAAAGCCATTTGAAAGTTCAACACGTTCAAAGGTCCCAACATGCTTCACACTCTTTCAGACTCGTTCACCCATTTTTATGGCCATCTCCTTCCGCTGCCCCCTGTTCCAGCTCCAGCTCCTGTTCCTGCTCCTGCTGCTGCTCCTGCTGCTGCTGCTCTTGGCTCTGTGTGTCTCTCTGGCTCGTTCGCCTGTGTCTTGGCCGTGTCCTTTTTGCGCAACTTTCACTGTTTATTCTGCTAAAAGCGCTGGCCAACACTCATGCACTCGAAAGACTTACCAGCGCACACATATATATCAAGTCTGGCAAGTGCACTGAAAATTAAAGGGTATACTTGGGAAGAGTGTTTCAAATAAATGATTTTTTAGCAACATAAATTAGTTTAAATTCAATAAGAAATCCATACAGCATTTAAATATATTTAAAACATTTCAAAATAGTTAGTATGTACACAATTATAATAAATAAAATGCTTTTTATGAACTCAAAATAATAATTTCTATTTGAATAAGTTTTGTCAAAGTTCTTAAACTCCAATTTTTTTATTTAATTTTGAATAAAAATCCTTAAACTCTATTATTTAGGTTCTTTTAACGCTTTCAGAGTTTTCCCGGAGTGAAAAAATGGGCGTTCTAAAGCGGAATAGGAAAAAGTGGGCGTGGGGCAGACACTCAGACAGCTGGGGGTCGTCGGCAAATACGAAAAACTCAAACTCAAACCGAAGCGCAGCTGGAAAAGCAACTGCCACTGCCTCTTTTAATTGACTTTTTATGCGCTGTGCTTCGCCACACACCTCACCCCCTCCCCCCTCCGAAGCAGTTGAATTTAACGCGCTTTAAGTTCACCAATTGCATTCGTATTGGTTTGGGGCATGCCACGCGGTCGCGCTGCCATGCTGCCACGCCGCCATGTTGCCTCCCTTTTTGCCAATTTCCATTGCCTATCCAGAGGCGCTCAGCCACTGTGACACTTTGCAAGCCATTAAGCATTTTCATTACCTGCCTGCTGCTTTGCATTTTGATAGTCCCAAACCTTAGTATCGTCATTGTCGTCGTAAGCCTGGCTCCTGGTTCCGTTCCCTCCCTATTTTCCGGTTACCCCTTTTCCTAGACACCCCTTTTCCCAGGTCTCTCCCTCCTGCATCCCATCCAACATTGTCATCCTTAGGCTCTGCTCTGCTCTGTTTTGTTTACGTGTGCGCTATTAATTGCCCAAGCGTCCAAAATGCAAATTGCAAATGCAACTGCAATTGTAACTGAAATAACACGGAGCAAAATATTTGAGGGGTTTTTATTAAAATATTAATTTAGAGAGGAATAAATACAGGAAATAAAAGAGATATAAAGTTAGTCATTCAGATCTGTCGGGTATTTAAGGATGTAGGAAAAATGAATATCAATTATGTTTAGAAAACATCTTCAACTATTTCAAAATTAATACTTATAACTAAATTAAGATAGTTTTCTATAAATATTATTGTAAAATAATAATAGAAAAGACTAAAATAAATAGGACCTAAACCTAGATCTAAATTCTGAAAGTAATTGAATATATATTATAAATACATTTATTAAATTGAAGAGATATCTACCTTAATTATGAAATCTTTATAATTTCTTCCTAGTATTTATTTTTCTTTCTAAGACCTCAATTTTAATTATTCATTAATAAAATCCAATCAATATTTGCTTACCTTTCCATTTAATCCATAATCCATTCCATATTTTGTCGTTATAATTAATCCTTTTTATAAGACCTAATTTAATATTAATTTTTATACTTTTGCCTATGAATTCTTCATAATAATTATATTATTCTTCTTCTCAATAATTATATTTTTGATAAGACCTGAATTTTACTTATTATTTATTAAAATTTAACCAATATTTGGTTACTTTTCTTAGTGGAATCTTTATTATTTATCCTTTAAAATACTAAAAAATTCATCCATCGATAGTTTTAGGTCAAGTTAAACCCCAACATTTTCTCTCACTGTACCTGCAATGGTTAGCTCTATTTTATGGACGGCAGAGGGGGGATCAGATCAGTTGGTGGCTTTGTGTCCAGGGACAATGTGAATTATTGTCCTGGTTTGCATATTATGCTCAAGTTTCGTTCGCCTTTCGTTTCGTTTGGTGGGTAATTAAAACGCTTAAAGACGCATCAGTGCGTGACAAATCTAGCTTTTCACTTTTCCTTGAGCAAGGAAAACTGGCAGCAGAAAATGGGAGTGGGAGTGGGGGTGGAAGTGGAAGTGGAAATGGAAGTGCACTGAAGTGGCTAAGTAGCTGCCCAGGCCGTGTCCATTGTTTGCCTTCTGTGGAGTAAAGTTTCTTATACATTTTCAATTTGGACTGGCTTTATAGAAGTTAACTTTTAGCCAATTAAAGACGGTGGAAATTCGTGACAGTACTTAGTTTTTTTTGGCTATAAAACCAAGCGATTTAAGCACAAAGTTAACCATTTATTCAAACCACCTTTTTTTGTTGAAATTTTGTATGGAAATCATTGCCCGGATTGTTCGCATTTGTTTGGTTGATTTTTTTAATCAATAAAATGTTAACAGCTATAAATCAACAAGCTGAACCATGTTGCTTTCACAAAAATTAGCGTTTTTTGTTACAATCCATACAGTTTTTTCGCTTTGTTTATGATACTTTTGCAAAAAGATAAGTAACGTGGTTTTTATCATATGTTAAATGTGGGGAATGTTTTATTTTTTAGGTTCTAGTAATAAAAACAGCATTTGGGTTTTTCTGAAACTCTGTAAAGTGGCAATATATTTGTTTATAAATATTTTAATTTAGCAAAAGTCATTGCTTTGATTTGATTTCATAAAAAGAAGAGCTTAGATGATACAGAGCTTGTCATATGTCCCTAGATTAATTTAATTAAGTGTTCATAGTAACAAATGGGCATCAAATAAATTCTATAAAATGTATCTGTAAAGTTAATATTTCGCTTAATTTTTAAGGCACATATAAGCTTTCAACCCCTGAGAATTTCTTTAACCACTTCTTATTGATTTCCATAGAGTTTTGAGTGGCCATCGAGCACATCACTCCATGCCATCCATCGCATTCATCCCATCTTGTCTTGTCATTGTTGCGACCACTCCTTGCCCCTTCCTTTTGCTGGCCCGGATTTTCCTCCTCGATTTCCCCCCCCCCCTGGACGTCGTCTGGCCCACTTGAAACTCTGCACAATTCAGTCAAGTAAATTCTTATGAAAGAGTTGAAGTTGTGTGGCCAAGAGAAGCAACATCAGCTGCAGCGAATGGCACTTGACCAACCCGATGATGGAGGGTCTGCCGATGCTGAAAACTGTTGAATTTCCATCCGCCGCAAGACTCTGGGCAATTAGTGGACACAGTCCCGGGGAATTTGTCGCAGATCCACGAAAGTGAAAAGGCCAAAAAATGACTTAATAGCCAAAAGTTGGGCATGCGACAAAGTAAGCGTTCGTGCGTGGCATCAACGTGAAATGCCACCCAGCGGGGCAGGGATCCGGGGCATCTGGGTTGGATATTTGTGGCTCATATGAGTGACACGACCAGGCTGACTTGTCGTCACCAGAAAGGGGGGTGGGGGGAGGTAGGGAATGGGAAAGCTGGGAAAATTCAGGAAGCAGCAGCAAAGCAGCCGGCAGGCAGCGCGTGCCGTTGGGAAAGTTGCCAGCCAACGCCAAAAACCGCTCGCCAGTTAGCCAGGCCGCAAGAGAATGCGTGCCTGTGGACAAAACATGTCAGCAGCCTCGTCCCGGACTCGGCTTCTCTATATATCTCTAGATATCTATAGATATATACATATATGTATATATATACAGTATGCACTTGCCGTAATTCATAACGCTCTATGAATGAAGTGAAGTGTGGCAGGGCTAAAGTCTATGGCAAATGCTCAGCTGGCAATTATAATTTCCCATTTCGTCGCTGTTAAAAATATGATTCAATTTGTTCTGCCTGGCCCCGGCGAACGAAGCTAGAGAGAGTGAGTGAAATATAATTCATGATTTTTTTCCGGAAAAACTAAGGGGTATCTAGAGGGTATATTAGTATTATGAACCTATAAAAATGATAGAAATAAAAGCTAAAGATACACTATCTTTTAGAGTATCTTTAAGTTTAATATAGTTATATTCTTCAAGAGTTCTCTTTTATATTTAATCTTTAAGAATTGATTTATTAAGGATTTACTTTTCCAGGGTATCATTAATCCCTCTACCTGATTAAACACTTTTATCAGCGCTTTTCCCTCTGCTCTTCAGTCAAAAGAAAGCAAAAAAAAATCCAAGCAACAAATGCGGCATTAAAATTGATTCGCTTACCCGCAGCTCCTGGCGGATAAAGGGGGAAGACAATGAGAGGAAGCTACTGGAGCAGAGAAAGAGACAGGTATAGAGACTAAGAGAGAGATAGAACGAACCCTCGACTGATGGCTGTCTGGGCTGATTAGACTTAGAGACGAGGATAGACGACGGCGTGTAAATGGCGCCTGGCAAAAGGTGTTGATGATGATGTACATAAAGTGCCGCTGGCTGAAACTGTCAGGGGATTTCAGGGGGGTGGGAGGAGGAAAAATCGGGGCGGGAGGAAAAGCCTAGGGTAAGGGGTGGGTGTGCGGAAAACTGGCTAAAACTTGTCGCCGCGCACGGAAGCACAAAAATTGAATTGACATGACAGTCGGTTGTTGTCCCTTCTCCTGGTCCTGGCTCCTTCTTTCGTCCTTCATCCTGGTGCTCCAGCTCCTGCTCCTGTTCCTGCTCCATGGATCCCCAGAAACTGACAACAGTTTATGTTGGGCACGACAGTTCGGAGCACGCTTCATAAAATTCATTTCCGCGCCGCCGTCGCTACTTCCCAGCTCCTGCTTCTGCTGCTGCAAAAGTGATTAAAATTATAATTAAACTGTGATGGTTGTCTTTCTCTATCTCTCTTCCACCTACACATTCATTCTCCGTCTCAGTCATGCACGGGGAAAAACACACAAATGGTTTTAGAAATACATATATACGTTTCCCTGTAATCGGAATTGTAAGATGTACAAAGCAAATATGATCTAAGTTTGATGATAGAGAGAATTGATTTTGTTTTATTTTGAAGAGAAAGTTAATAAGATGTTTTATATAAACTTATATCTATGAAGGAAATATTCTTTATATTTCATAACTTAACAATTATACAACAAGCAAATATATTAGGATAATCATCAATAGGTTTTCCTCTCTAAAAACTCTGGAAAAATGCCTAGAAAGTATCAGAAATTGTTTTCAATTATCGATAAGTTTTCACCTGTATCTTAAGGTGTTCTTAAACTAAACAAAGTGAGATCTCCTACTTGAGATTGTGATTTTGGCCTCAGTGTGTGTACTCACTCTCCATTTCTGTGGTGTGCGCAGGCAGCCCTAGGAATATTCAATTTAAACTAAACCCCAGCTCTCAAGTACACGCGGCGTATGAGCAATGTCCGAAAGGGAACTTTTCCTGGGATCTCTCTGTGTGTGTGTAAGTTGGTGGGAAAGGCATTTTATGCATTCAACATCCTATCCTGCAGTCTGTCCATGCATTCAACGGTTCATTGGTTGCTATAAATATATAATACGTGACAAATACGTGCCGAGTTCTTTTCAATCCGACTATGGCACACTCCCTCCTGGAAAACGTGTGTAGAGCGTACAAATGTATGTACAAATCCTTGCCAGAACATTCGCCATTCCTCACACAACGAACGAACGGAAAAAAGAAAAGGGAAAATCGAGGGGTAAAAAGAAAGAAATGGTTAGCAATAAAAGTGTTCAGCGTACTGTTGCATGTGGGCCTCATGGTGATGGTGGTGTTGCAAGCACAGGTTGAGTCCAAGATGGAACGCACTTGTTGATTGGCACTCAATGTTGCGTCTTAAAGGATTGATGTACTATGTGGAACAGAGGGGGCGGTTTCTCCGTAGAGGGAACACTCTGTGTTGCCCGTGGCAACGACGAGCTGCAACAACCACTGCAGCGTTGCACGTGCAACGTTGCCTTCACCCAACCTCTCTATTGCCACGTTGGCTTCTCACCGCCTTTTCCTTAGGTTTTTCCCCACTTTTCCGACCAGTTCAAACACAAAACGCGGCAAATAAGTAGGGAATTTTTAGTGGCAACTATGAATACGATATTTGCTAAGGAAAAATGAAGTATATGGCCCTAATAGAATAGCATAGTAATAAGTGGGAATTGCCTGTGGTAACCATGAATATTTTAGGCCATTGGCAATGTATAATATTATGGTCTATAGGATGAAGAAGGTATTTGAAAAGTCTATAAAGATTTTGTAACTTTTGAAAAGGGTTTGCAAAAGGATCTAAGGATTTCTTAACTAAGTTATCAACTTATACAACTTTTGAAGGCTTTAAAAACTAAATGTTATTTCTAACTGCAATTTAAATATATGGAATGTTTGTTGTCGTTAAGAAACAATTGTTTTTTATCTTAAATTGTGTTAATTAAAATTCCTAAATATCTATTTAGTAACGTTGCAAAAATTATGTTATAAATAAGAACAGCTATTTAAAAAAGGAATTTTCTATTTTATTTATTACACTTTGGTTACTGTGCTTTTGTTTCATTTAAAAACCATAATAAATTTGGTTGAATTTATATTCCGACATAAATATTTAGGTTCTTTATTGTATGTGTGGTTTTGCTAAACTTAAAAATAATAAATAAAATTGTAAAGGCAATGGCTCTTCTCTGTGTAAAAAGGCATGTTCATAGTTTGCTTAGTTTTTTACTTTTTTTGGTTGGAAATCATCAATCCATCCATGCATCTATCCCGGGCCATTCGTCCCTTCCTGCTTGGGAGCCATCCATCCTGGGATCCAACCCCGGCATTCATCTATTCCATTGGCAACAAGCCGGAGCAATGAGCGCGCTTATTCCATTTGCTTAGACATGAACAAAACGGGGAAAAAATCAGAGAGGGAGGCGAAGGAGGAGGAGGAGCGATCCCAATCCCAATACCAGACGCACAGGACGGGGCGGCGCTGGAAAAGCGCAAAAAAGGAAACGGAAATTGAAAATCTGAAGCTTTTGGAGAGCGAGTGAGCTGTGAATCCTATTTCAAGTGCAATCTTCAGTCGCAGGTTGAAAGTAATTCAATAGTTGGCGGCTCTGCGTGGGCTCCAGATCCTGCCACTGCTGCTGCTGCTGCTGCTGAGGATTCCCGTCCTAAAGCTGATGCTGCTGCTGCTCCTGGCATTGAATGGCAATCGAGAGTGGCACGTAATGCCAACAATTGCACACCAATGCAAACACAGACTGCCAGGCTGCTCGCTTGGAATGGGGCAAAGGGATAGTGGATAGTGGATAGTGGTGGGATTGTAATGCGCCAGGGGTAATGTGTGTGGGGGGGTTGATGAGGATTGGGGGGATCCCCAGCCTCCCCCTTAGCCAGCTCATTGCCTGCATGTTGCACAGTGCACGTGCACGTGTAGATAACGTTTACTGTTGCGGCAGCAGCTGCTTACGGCTTAGGTGGGGGGCACTCACTCTCTCCCCCCTTTGGGGGCTGCTACATGCCCCTCTTCCCCACCCGTTGCGTACACCAAATTCATTTATGTGCACGCAAATCCCTAATCCCTAGTTTTTGCTACCCGCCGCCTGCTCCGGAATCCCCCAAATGCCGCAATTCCCCAAGCGAGGATGCGAGGATGCGACACCGACAACGATGCCGACAACATTTGCGGAAATGACTTTTGAGCGGTTCCTCCACGGCATCTGCCAGCGACACTGAAACAGCCTATTTTTACAGTACAGAGAGGGAAAAATGTAGTAAAAAAGGATTATGAATTGACCTTTATAATTTAAATATAGCAATAAATAATATTTCTTTAAGGAAGAAGAAGTTCTTAGTCTCTCAAATATCAATGTCCTTTGGCTAGAACATATTATTTATCTTAGCTTTAAGCTTCTTTCATTTAATAACTTTAATATTTTTAATAAAATAAGTCCGATTTAACTATATTTAATCATTATTTTTTTACTCTGCACCATACTTCACGATGTCCCTGTGCCAGGCTTAGTAACAAAATTAAAGTTGCGCCTGCCACCAGATCGTCGTCGTCGTCGCTGGTTCGTTCGTGCATCCTGCATCCTTTTCGGCGGATAGTTGATGGTTCCCGGCTGCTCGCTGCTCGATCCTGCTGGCACAACTACCTCGTCGACTGGCTCTCTAGGTTTCTGACGGCTCACCTCACCTCACGCACCTGGCGGACGCATCAGCCACCGGCACCGCCTGCGCCCGACACAAGATTGATGTAGCATTCATTTGATGCGGATTAGTATTTTATAGCTGCACTTCACTCCCACGTGGGTCGGCGAAACGCACAGAGTCCTGCTCCTGCTCCACCCCGAGGAGGAGCTGGTCCTGCACTACACTGTTCCTTGCTACATTCATTCATCCTTGGCCAGGTCCCTTTTTCTTGTCCGCGCTTTTCTTGCGGATTGGGTTTGCTAGGTTTTGGCAGGACTTTTGGGTAAATATTACCAGGATTATGGTGGGATTTATGTCCAGGTGGGAATTTTGAAAAGCTTTGGATCATTTTATATTGTTTTAGAGTAGAGTTTAGAGTAATATGTAGACAAATCAATCAATAATCGGATTGGAGTTATGCTAGTTTTTGTAGGTAACTATATAATTTATATTTATTTATAATTTGGCAGCTTTAAAGGTCAACATTTAATTCCAAAAATAATATCAAGATAAAAAAACATCAACTTTCCTTATCAATTAAGTTTCACGAAACAAATGTAAGAAGTTTCCCCCAACAGAAAATATAAACATCTTATTAAAAAATATTTCCATAAGCTTGTGGCAACCGTGGACTTCCTAAGGGTAGTTCAATCTTCGGCCTTTGAAGACAGGTTTTTCCTGTCCGCGTTCCCTTCCTGCTCCTGTATAATTTTTTTTGCTTGGCTCGCATTCCTTGCAATTGATTGCTCCCTTCCTCCGCACTTGGCCCAATGTCCAGAGTCCGTCCATGTGCGTTCGTGTGCCCCCTTTGATTGGGGTCAGCTATTGACAGAGGCGTGGGGTGAAAATTGCGCCGAGAAGGAGAAAGGGGATGATGCCTGGGGGTCTGTTGTTGTTGCTGTTGCTGTTGTCGTTGTTTAGCTGCTAAGTTGCTTACTTGATTTGTAGCACAAATTCAATTCAATTGGCTCGCACTTTGGTAATCAATAGCATCTGACCCCTGGATTTGATTTCACTCGGCAACAAAGTTTTCAATACCAACTCTCATAGTGAAATATATATATATTTATATATGTACATATAACACTCCGTCTTTGTTCTGAAATTGCTCAGCATTTGCTGTGAATACATTTTTACTAATGAAGCGTAGCATTTACTGTGAGAAACTGGTAAAATATGTTTAAGGAATTTTGTAATCTTGATTAGTACCATACATTTAATGTTTTTGAAGTTAGTTTCAAGGTTTTTGGGTTCGTTTTTGATTTAGTTTTATACTTTGTATGCTTTAAGAAAGGTTCTTTTGTGTATTGATTTAATTTTCATATTTTAAAGGAATTTATTAAAATATTCAAAGGTAGTTAGAATGTTTGATAAAGAAGTATATCACAAAAAATTAAATAAATGTTCTTCAGGACTTCTGTAAATGCAAAAAAACGTGTATTAAAACTCGCTTGCCCGTAACATATTCACAAATTTTTGGATTTACTACTTATCTATTATCTAATTTTATAGAAAACAGAGATTTTAAAAAACCACTGATATCTGGAACTAACTCAAACCATATATTACCCTTTTTCATATTATAATATGTGTAATATGTATATTGTCCTTATGTTTCGTTGGCAATATTTCATTTGGGAAAGTAAAAGGAGAATATACAAACCACTTTAATATTTTACTTTAAGTGATTTAAATTCTATTCAATTTTATATTGAAACTTATAAGAAAAACATTATATTTTAAATGAAGTTCTCAAATTTCGCTCAGTGCTAATGGGCCGTCAATCATCTTGTTGGACAG